ACTATATCTGTTGCTATGTTTCCATTATCCCAAGACACAATGGCTGTGTAGAAAACATAGCTTCCATCAATGGGTGCTGTAAAAACCCCATCACGTGGGTTATAACCTCCTCCAATGTTTGTGATGACCTTTGGAAATACCATATCGGTTCTCGTTATATCTTGTTGTGAAAATTGGTCATATCCCGCCGTAAATGCAACTATACTCTTTCCATTATCATGCCGTTTATCTGAAGAAAAAAAAAATAGTTTTCGTCCGATTCGAAAGATGAGAGATTGAAATTTAAATCACAATTTTAAAGCGACAGTACGACTGAAATTTGCCGAATATACGATGAAGTCAGCAGTTTGAGAACCATAAATAATTTTTAATTTTAATGAAATAATTAGAATTATTTACGTATATGAAACTTGTAATTTTCTGAAAGTGCATACATTTATGAGTAGTAAAAAAACATTTCAAAACCTAATGGAAAATGTTTATTGATTTTGTTGTTGTTGTTGTTGTTGTTGTTGTTTTTTCTTCTTCTTCTTCTTTTTTTTTTTTTTTTTTTTGATGCTCCATATACTGTCACTTTAAGTTTTGGGGTATACATAATGGTTGCTTAATGTATCCCCCTAGAAAATGAGGCAAGTTAAATAAACAAGATCAAAAAAAAAATTTTAAAATTATATAGTCTTACCATTCTGTTCTTTTGATGTTTCCATTGTGATACTTTCTAACAAAGCCAGCGTTGATGTCATATTTAGCTGATTATACTCTATCTTCCTTGCCCAGCCTTCTAGTTTAGAAACTGAGTTACTGAGGTCTTCTTGCTTCATGGAAAGATTCTTAACATCAATCTGAATATCTTCAAAAATAATTGTTCGATTTAACAGGGCCTGACGATCCTCATTCGTTTTTGTTTCAGTGACGTTTAGGCGTTCGGAGAAAGCTTGGATCATTTTGTCTGCAGTTTTCAGCTTTTCGTCATATTTTTTAATCGTATCCTGGCAATTTACTGCAATGCTTTCAAGACGCTGGTTTTCCAACTGAAGGGTGTTGATTTTAGTTTGCAATGTCTCTATCGTCTGTTGAAAGTTGTTCATCGCACTCTCAGCCGATTCGATACTTTGCTTTATAGAATCAACGTCTCCCACTAATGTATGAACATTTTTGGCCACAGCTAAGCCAACACCAGTGCCTTGGTTAAGCATATATTTTATAAATTCCATTTCATTACACTTGGTCGCTTGTCCATCATCTTTTATATCTGTGGAGTTGTGCTTTTCAGAACCAGTTAGCAAAGAGAAGTCCCTTGCCTTGATACTGACAATCAACGCCGTCAAAAGAAGAAGAGGCCTCATTCTCTCTGACTATCCAAATGCAAACAGAATCTGCCTGATATATTGAAAGAGATATATATGCGACTCTCGGTAATTTCTACAGATAGGTGTATTACTGTTAAAATATCAAATGCTATAAAAAAAAATGATATGTAACACCTGCCAATTCTACATAATGACACTTTACATTAAGGGGTTTTCCCTGAATTTAGCATGATAAAGTGCATTTTAAATGAGTAATAATCACACATTTATCATATCAATATCACTTCATAAGTTTTATGGTTTCTATTTGTACACACAGATTATAGAAACAGATTTTATTGATTATGAACACTTAAATTCAGGCTTTGAAATACACACAAACATAAAATTAAGAAGATTCCCGTTGCATTTAAGAAGACGTCTTATATTTGAAAAGATATTTTAGCCTGATTTCAATTGATAAAATTTTCTACCCCCTTATCAAAGGAGTTGTACATAACAGCAATTAACTTTTTGTCACTGGTTTTTAGAAAAAGTGCTAAATACTAATGATGTATCACTACATCAATTAATAAATTGAATTAAAAAGAGAAAAAGAAAACGTGTACAGGAATCGAGAGTTAGTGTGCGTAGTTCTCACAATACTAGTAATAACAAAATTTGAAGTATTTAGGAATTTTTAAAATGAAATCAGGCTGAAAACCTCACAAGATTTTCAAATACTCAAAAAAAAAATGGATAAATGGCTCTTAAATCTTACCGTATTTTAACTTGTGTAATATCCAACATACTAAATATGAGTTTGATAAAGTAATAACAATGTTATTACGTTTTCATAATTGTTATCTCATTTGAAATTGGCAATAAAACGACTTTTTTTTCTGTGTTAAATCTCTAAAAACGTGTCTCCCCCTTCCCCCGTGAGACAACAAATCCTTTGGAGAGAAAAGGATTTTTTAAATTGTTTCGCAGGGAAAGATGTTTTGAAAATGTTTTACATGAACACATCTAGAAAGGGGCGGGGAGGGGGCCGGGTGAGCGGACCACAACTTTAAAACTTGTACAGTCAAGTTATGCATAAACTAAACTAACTAAAACTGAATTTAGTCCCCCCCCCCTAGAAAACGCGGCTCCGTGTTAAGTTGGTATGAAAAGTCATAGATATGACGATATGAAATATAAGATGTCAAACCCAACCCCTTCCCACCCCCACCCCCGCCAAATAATTTTTCACGCCTAGGAAAGGAGTTCATCTTTTTTTTCTTGTCAAGAAATTTCTGGGTTGGATATTTTTTTACTGGTGTGGACCCCTACTGGAAAAGAATTCCTGGATCCGCGCCTTGATTTTCGACAATTCACATAAATATCAATATACATGTAGATTAAATTTATTCAAATATGTGTGGTAGTTGGCAGTAAGCAGCTGACAGTTGGCAGTAAGCAGTTGGTTGTCGTATATGTATGAAATGCCATATACGACAGCCAACTGCTTACTGCCAACTGCCACACATATTTGAATAAATTTTCATATTTATTTTGATATATTCATGTGCATTTTCAAAAAACAGACGCGGATCCAGGATTTTTTTTTCCAAGAGGGACGCCCGGGTAGAAAAAAAACCAACCCAGAAATTTCTTGACAAGAAAAAAAGTAAACTCAGTTAAATTCCTAAATGTGAAAAATTATTTTGGCGGGGGGGGGGGGTTCTCATGCTTTAAGTCTACGAGATTTTTCAATTGAACACGGATACGCGTTTTAGGGGGGAGGCAAGGTCCCTTTTAATTTATGCATTATATAAATTTCAGTTGGTTTAATGTGTACATGAAATACCTTTACAAATTTCAAAGGGATGGTCCGGACCCCCCTGTGCATATATAACATAACTTATTTTGTAAAAACAAAGAGATATAAATCTTTGAGAAAAATGTTCAAAGGTTCATAATTAACAGGAAATTGAAATTTATTTTTAAAATAACTTCCCTGTGAATCAAAAACAAATCCTTTTTTTCAGTTTTTATCCTTTCCAAAGATTTTATTGTCTCATGTAAGGGGGGATTTAAAACAGGAAAATAGTCATTTTATAAGAAAACAAATAAAAAATAATATACTTTATCAATCTCATATGTTGAATTTTTACATTAATAAAAACATACGATGAGATTAAGGAGTCATTTATCAATTTTCATTAGTATTTGAAGATCTGATGAAATGTTCAGTCTGATTTCAATTGATAAAATTTACTCTTTATTAAAGGAGTTACTAGTATACATAAGAGCAATAATCTTTTTGTCAATGGTGTTTAGAATAAGTACTTAAAAACTGACTTTGGACCCCCCCCCCCTCGAAAACGCGGATCTGTATTAAGTTAATTTGTATGAAAAGTCATAGATATGAAGATATGGAGCATAACCCATCCACACCGCCAAAATAATTTTTCACGTTTACGAAAGGAGTTTACGTTATTTTTCTTGTCAAGAAATTTCTGAGTTCGATTTATTTTTACTGGGGTGGATCACTCCTAGAAAAAATCCTGGATCCATGTTTTATGGAATGCCATATACGACAGCCAACTGCTTACATGTACTACCAACTGCTAACTGCTTACTGCCAACTGTCAGCTGCTTACTGCCAACTGCCACACATATTTGAATAATTTTTCATATTTATTTTGATATATTCATGTGTATTTTCCAAAAACAGACGCGGATCCAGGATTTTTTTCCAACCCAGAAATTTCTTGACAAGAAAAAAAAGTAAACTCAGTTAAATTCCTAAATACGAAAAATTATTTTTTTTTTGGGGGGGAGGGGGGTGTCTCATGTTTTAAGTCTATGAGATTTTTCAATTAAACACGGATCCGCGTTTTAAGGGGGGGGGGGGGGTTCCCTTTTAATGTATGTATTATATAAATTTCAGTTGGTTTAGTTTGTACATTAAATACCTTTACAAATTTCAAAGGGATGGTCCGGACCCCTCCCCTCACCCCCTCCCCCCTCCTTGTGCATAAAAACAAAACTTATTTTGTAAAAGCAAAAAGATATAAATCTTTGAGAAAATTGTTCAAAGGTTCAAAATTAAAGGGAAATTGAAATTTATTTTTAAAATAACTCCCCTGTGAATCAACAACAAATTCTTTTTTTCAGTTTTTATCCTTTCCAAAGATTTTGTTGTCTCATGTAGGGGGGATTAAAAAGAGGAAAATAGTCATTTTATAAGAAAACAAATAAAAAATAATTACTTTATCAATCTCATATGTTGAATTTTACATTAATAAAAACATACGATGAGATTAAGGAGTCATTTATCCATTTTCATTAGTATTTAAAGATCTGATGAAATGTTCAGTCTGATTTCAATTGATAAAATCTTCCCCTTATTAAAGGAGTTATACATAAGAGCAATTAACTTTTTGTCAATGGTTTTTAGAATAAGTACTTAAAACTGACCTTGGAAACCCCCCCCCCCGAAAACGCGGATCTGTATTAAGTTAATTTGTATGAAAATTCATAGGTATGAAGATATGGAGCATAACCCACCCACACCGCCAAAATAATTTTTAATGTTTACTAAAGGGGTTTACGTTATTTTTCTTGTCAAGAAATTTCTGAGTTTATTCCGATTTATTTTTACTGGTGTGGATCCCTCCTGTATGGAATGCCATATACGACAGCCAACTGCTTACTGCCAACTGCTGACTGCTTACTGCCAACTGTCAGCTGCTTACTGCCAACTGCCACACATATTTGAATAAATTTTATATTTGTATTGATATTTATATGAATTTTCACAAAAAAGGGAAAAAAGGCACGGATCCAGGACATTTTTTCCAAGGGGGGGTCACCCTGGTAAAATTGAATTGAATAAAATGACCAGTATGTTTTATCTTATGTAATATTCAATATATGCGGTTGATAAAGTACATTGTTTATTTTTTTTTATTTGTTTTCCTATTTGAAATAGGTAATAAAATGACTTTTCTGCTTTTAATCTTTAAAGACCCCCCCCCCCCCCTCCCTTCCCCCGGAGGCAACAAAACCTTTGAAGAGAGAATAATAATAAAAAAGATTTGCAGAGAAAGATGTTTTGAAAATAAATTTCCGTTTTCCATTATATTCTATAGTTAAAAATTTCCTCAAATTAAAGATGTATATCTCTGTGTGTTATAATGCAGGCACGTAGCATCGTTTTTGAAAGTGGGGGGGGGGGGCAACCAGAGAAAATTTTTTTTACTTACCTGAAAAAGTTGACAAGCAAAAAAAAAAAAAGAAAAAGAAAAAAGGAAATAGCCCAAACTCGAAAATCCTATTTCGGAGGGGGGGTGGGGGGGGGGGGGGGGGGGTAGGTGGCTAAATTTTTTTAAGGCCAACTACCTTTCGCTTACATTTTTTTCCACACAATACTACATATCCTTGATATCATTATACTATGGTAAGAAGTGGGGGGGTGGGGGGCAACCATCCTTTCAATATACAATAGTAAAGGTAATGTTGGGGAAAAAAGTGGGGGTGGGGGGCCAGCCCCCCCCCCCCCTGTTGCTACGTCCCTGTAATGTTTTACATGCATAGATCTGGAACGAACTACCGGTATAACTGACCTTGGACCCTCCACTTAGAAAACGCCGATCAAACATTTATATCTCTTTGTTTGTACAAATAAAATATGTTTTACATGCATAGATCTAGAGAGAGCGGTCCGGAACACCCCTCTATAATTTGTAAAGTTATTTAATGCACGAACTAAACCAACTAAAAGTTATTAATGTATAAAATAAATCAACTAAAAGGGATCTTAGAACCCCCCCCCCCCCAACCGAAAATGTGGATTCGTGTTAAGTTGGTATGAAAAATGTAATACACATGAAGGTATGACGCATAAGAACCCCCTCTCCCCGGCCGAAATAAATTTTCACAGTTAGGAAAGGACTTTACGTAATTTTTTTCTTGTCAAGAAATTTCTGGTTTGGATTCTTTTTTTATCAGAGTGACCCTCTTGGAAAAAATGTCCTATAGATCCGCGCCTCTTTTTTAAAGTTACACATATATCAATATAAAAATAAAATTTATTCAAATATGTGTGGCAGTTGGCAGTTGGCAGTTGGCAGTAAGCAGTCAGCAGTTGGCAGTAAGCAGTTGGCTGTCATATATGGCATTCCATACTCCTGGAAAAAATCCTGGATCCATTTTTTTTTATTTTGATTATTGTTTGAAAATTCACATAAATATCAATATAAATATGAAAATTTATTCAAATATGTGTGGCAGTTGGCAGTAAGCATCTGACAGTTGGCAGTAAGCAGTAAGCAGTTGGCAGTAAGCATTTGCCTGTCGTATAACTATATGGCATTCCATAATGTTTTTTTTATTTTGAATTGTTTTTTTTGACAATTCACATAAATAAAATAATAAATATATTATAAATAAATAATAAAAATAAATAAATGCCTGTCGTAGGACTATATGACATTCCATAATGTTTTTTTTTTATTTTGATTTTTTTTTTTTTTTTTTTTTTTTTTTGACAATTCACATAAATATCAACGAAAATATGAAAAATATTCAAATATGTGTGGCAGTTGGCAGTAAGCAGCTGAGAATTGGCAGTAAGCAGTGAGTAGTTGGCTGTCGTATATGGCATTCCATATATATGGAATTCCATATTTCCATTTATCAAAGCCAACTGCTTACTGCCAACTGCTCAATGATTACTGCCAACTGCCACAACACATAGACGATATTGCCTGTTTTGTTATCTTTAATATCTTTAATGCGTGTGCTTAATTGATTAAACCTAAATGATTAGATTACAATAGGAACACAAATTGGCGGATTCAGGAAGTTTTAAACAGTGGGGACATGGAAGAAATAAATAAAAGGAGGAAAGATTATTCCCTTTTAATTCCCACATTTTCTTGCATGCAAATGATAGATTTTTTAACGGGGGTGTAATTAAAGGTTTTGGATTTACATGTAGTATATATTGGAAATGGCCCATCAATATAGCCTTTAAAAATGAATCGCACGTAGAGCACGTTTTTGCATATCGAATCAACTTGGAGTCTCAGACCCGTACGCAGGTCATAAGGTACGTTATATTGCAGAAAAAAATTAAAGTGATCTCGTTTATCTTAAAGTTTTGTTGATAGATTACCATTTACGCCTTTTTTACTAGTAAAACACCCAAATATGAAGCAGATATATCAGACTGTGCATATCTTTTATTTCAGGTTCACTGTAAATCGACATATCAAGGGAAATTATTGACAAAGAATACATAACTATATATTTGCTTTTATTACATACATTGTAGCAGATGAAGTATCATAAAATGGGTGTATATACTATATAATTGCCAATTACACTATATATAATATGGTCTTCTTTTTGGCTTTTTCTTCCGCAAAATATATCCATATTGGTACATATTTTTGTAAATTCCATAAATTTTTAAGATTCATTATTTATACATTGAATTTATGTAAAACATGAGTAAAACTTACAACAAAGTAACAATATCTTTGTGAGTTTGAGCCGCTTCTAAATTTTAAAATGTTTTAGAACAAATATAATACAGGTAGTTGAGGAAAAACCCGAAAGGGTTATGTCGAAATTAACATGATTAACACCATCTGGAAAGACCATGTTCTACTTTAAAACAGAAATATACTTCCGAACCAAAACTCTATCTCCAGACTGTAAGTTTACGCAAACTAAGTTGGTTCCAGTTTGGTAAACGTATTCTTGGTATTTCGTCTGGAATCCTCTGCTATCCGCAAATGTTCTGACTTGACTTTTACCATTCAAAACTATATATGTTGCTATGTTTCCATTATCCCAAGACACAATGGCTGTGTAGAAAACATAGCTTCCATTAATGGGTGCTGTAAAAACCCCATCACGTGGATTATATCCTCCTCCAACATTTGTAATGACTTTTGGGAATACCATATCGGTCATCCTTGTATCTTGCTGTGAAAAATGATCAAAGCCTGCCGTAAATGAAACTATTCTCTTTCCATCATCATTCAGATTATCTGGAAAAAATAAAGTTTTCGTCTGATTTGATAGATTAAGAATTGAGATTTAAATTACAAGCTGTGGGGTATAAATTATGGTTGCTCAGTTTACCCCTCTTAAAAATGTGGTTTGTTTTGAAAAAAACGTGGTAAAAAAAGAAATCAAAATTATTCCTTACCATTCTTTTCTTTTGATACATTCATCATGAAATTTTCCAACAAAGCCAGCGTTGATGTCATATTTAGCTGATTACGCTCAGTCTTCCTTGCCCAACCTTCTAGTTTTGAAACCGACGTTTTCAGGTCTTTTTGCTTCATGGAAAGACTTTTAACTTCAATCTGAACATCTTCAAAAATAATTGTTGTTCGATTTAACAGAGCCTGACGATCCTCGTTCGTTTTGTTTCAGCACTTGGCTTTTCGCCTTTTTCGACAGTTTTCAGCTTTTCGTTATATCTTTGTATTTTACTTTGACAATTTCCTACAATATTTCCAAGACGTTGGTTTTCCAACTGAAGGGTGTTGATTTTAGTTTGCAATGTCTCTATTGTCTGCTGAAAGTTGTACATCGCTCTTTCAGCCGATTCGATACTTCGCTTTATAGAATCAACGTCTCCCACTAATGTATGAACATTCTTGGCCACAGCTAAGCCAATACCAGTGCCTTGTTTGAGTATATGCTTCATAAATTCCGTCATCTTTTAAGTAGTTGGAGTTGTGTTTTTCAGATCCAGTTAGCAAAGAGAAGCACAAAAAAGTGCGCTGTTCCTCGATTTATTTCTCCGTGTCTTAAAAAATGTCATATCAAAATATTACTAACCGTGTGTTTCTAACATACTAGTATTTTTACACTGTTTCCACAACAAAACATTCCTTATAATTGTTGTTAATAGCCCTCCTGTCCCTGAAATTGAGATCACCGAAAATTTTCGTCTATATATTGCCATTTTGGTTTGCAAGATAATTCGGTCCAACGCGCTTCGTTCAGATGTCAACTACGAGTACTTGATAGAGGAGTATAAAAGATTGTTGTGAAATCCAGCTTTTTTGTAATTTAGGTAAGAATTTTTAAAGAATTAATCCAGAACAAGCGCAACTTTTTGTGCGCAATAAATATACAGTTTTTCAATGGGTGGCACTGTAGCTCTCCGGTCTATCGATATATATTTTTCAGAGAGCTACAGCTCTGCAACTACAGTACTCTATGTCGCCCTGGAATGGAAATTAGAAATGGTCTAAGAGTGTATTGTTTTTAAGAAGCCTAAACACATGTTCAAATTGCTGGGATTGGCCAACCTACTCTTGGATTGTGGAGGCTTTGTTGTGCGGAGATAATAATTTTGACAGGAAGAATTAATGATTAATTTTAAAAAAATTTTGATCTCCTCAAAAACAGTTTTTGTTATACCCCCGCTGGAAAAGTTGGAGGGTATATAGTGATCGGGATGTCCGTCCGTCCGCCTGCTATGCTTTGGGGTACCCATCTCTCATCCGCAACTTCTCTTAACCACAGAAGGAAATTAAATGACGCGTTCAGATTGAAAAATGCCATTGTGCACATCTTATTTTACTTTTTGATCGGAAACATATTTCGGGTGTCCCAGCGTATAAAACATGGACTTTCTCATAACCATTTGGGAGACGGCGGGTATCATTCAGTGTTCACAGTACCTTTTG